CGCGTCGCAGCCAGGCGCCGTATGGCTCTATGAGCGACACTTCGTGGACACCGCTGCCCGTGGCAGCTGTCGACCGGTGCATCCGCCCGGGCAGGCCGTCCTCTGCACCGCGCACGTCCGTCGTTTGCGCGCTGCGCTGCTGCGCGCTGGGCCGCGCTGAGGACGCAAGCGTTGCAACGCTGCGTTCCGTCTTGCGGCGCAGTGCGCTGCCTGGACCAGGCGCTGAAGTCATTGCACGCCTTACGTTCCGCGCACACGGCGCAGCGCCATGCACCCTTCACTTTCATGGCGCAGTCCCTGCAGACACGTCGGTGTGCATGGCGCCCTGTCCACGCGGCCGCCCCGAATGCACTTTCCGGCTTGGCCGTACCGCACTTGTAGCACCGCTTCTGTGCCTCGCACGTCTGGCACACGCGGTAGAACGTGCATGCGGGGCGCGTGTACATTCTAGCAAAGGCGTCTTCGTGCTTCCATGCCTTGCAACTGTTGCGTTGCCAGGGCGTGTTGTTGGCCGCGTAGTTGCGCACGCATTCTCTGCACACACGTGCGTCCGCGTCCCGTTTCCATTGCCCGGCGCTGTACCCGCTTCTGGGTTTGCTTTCGCGGCACTCGCTACACACTTCCTCCTCGCGGTGCCGCATGCGCAACGTTGCCCAGTCAATGCTCTCTCCGCGCCAGGCCTGCAACAGCAAAGCTCTCCCTACGCTGCGTCCTTTCTGATAGGGTGCAGCATCGAATGGTCTGTATATGTGTAACCCGTGTCTATCTTTCACTCGCGTCACAGCGATGTATGCGGTCAGCGGGTCTCCGCCTTCGCCGATCTGCATGTCCGTGACTGCCCCTTCTGCGTAAGTTTGGCCCTGCGCTGCGTGCGCCGTGGTGGCAAACCCGGGTGCCAACGGAAATTGCCGTCGCACCACCCGCAGCATGGGCCTGGGCCGCTTTCGGCCTTTGTCCAGATGCCACGCTTGCCGTTGGAGCGTCACCGGAAACACGTTGTCCGTGGCCAGCCCCTGCACTCGCCACTCTGACTTGGTCTGGAACCGGACAAAGACACAACTTGGGAGCTCATTCCAAATCTGTGTCGTACTCCCTGCTGCGGCGCCCGCTGCTTCATGCCAGCTCCATCCAACAACTGTGCCCGGACATCCCTTCAGTATGCCTCTGCGGCGATCCAAGTGATCGGTTGCCGTGACCGGCATGCCGATGCACAAGGGCAAAACCCCGTACAGCCCGCCACAGTCCTGATCGTGACGTTGTAGCCATGTCAACTTGTCTTTGCCCAAGTCCGTTTTTTCTTGCAACGCCCGGCTGGAAATTGTGTCTTTTGCAATGGCATATTTGACCGCCTGCCCGTGCTGGCGTGCCCAGTTTAGCGCCCGCAGCTTGTTGACGTGGTACTTCACCGCATTCGTCGCAAACACCGCCTTTGCTTGCTCTAGCTTCCTTTGCTCATCACCCCTCATGTTTCCTTCCAACACTCGCTTTTTCGAGGCGCGTTCGTGCTGGCATTGCTTGCACTCGAGTCTGCGAATGCGAGCAGGGACGACTTTCCTTTGCAACAGTTGCTGGCACGCTGCGTTTTCGCAGTCCAATTTTTCGCCAGACCAACTTCCCGGGACACCTGTGTCGTGCCCATGGAGGAAGGCGTGATTGTCGGCGCTCAAGGCACCTTCCCGAATCTGCTGCTGCAGCGTCTGCAGCCATGTGTCTCGCGCGCGCTCACATTGCTCGAGTTCTGTGATGCCGTGGATGATGCTGTTCTCCGTCTGCGAGCCCCACACAAGCTTTTGCCCATGCACGGTGTGGGCGACTTTTTTACTGCTCCCCTTGGTCAGCATTTCCCAAGGCACTTCCCCCAAAAAGGTTCCGCGTGGTGGTGGCAATTGCCATAAATCACCTGCCACTAGTACGTTCAACCCTCCGAAGGGCTGCGCGTGTGCGCTGCCCGGGGCGTACTTGCTCTGCGCTAGATCGCGCACTAGCTCTCGGCATCGTAAATCCATTCTTGCCAGCAGCTCAGCGCTTACCATGCTTATTTCATCAATGATCAGCCACCGCCATTGCATGGCCTTCGCACTGAGGTCGAGGAATTTCCTTCCGCTGATCCTGTCGTCGGACGCGCCTTGCCAATTTAAGCCCATCGCGTGATGAATGGTATCGCCGTCCAGTTCCTTGGCCATCACCGCCTGCAGCGTGACAACGCGGTATTGCGAGCCATGCGTCCACCCGGCGATACCCTCAAAGAGCTCACGACGGATCAATTTCAACGTGTGCGACTTACCCGTGCCGGGACCCCCCGTGCACCACCCAACGCAGTGGTTGCGGCCTGGCACCGGCTTCTGCCAGCAGCTCTGCGCGGACCTGTTGCGCAACGCGCTGACACAGTTCGGCCTGTTTGCGGTTGCATGGGCCGTCGGCAACCGCGCTGCTCCATCGGTCGATTGCCGCCAGGGTGTCCTGCAACCGGCCGGGCCGTCGCGTCACGCTCGGCTCTAGGCTCGTCTGCGTTGCGTTCCCAGCGGGGGCCTCCGCCAAGCGATGCAAACCTTTGACGACGCCCTTTGTGTCGGTTGTCGCGTATGGGTTTTCCACTTCTCCCGGTGCACTCGTCGCTACGCCGCAGCCACCCCAGTGCTGTTCGGCGCGCTGTAACGCGTCCACGAGCAAACGTCGATGTTTGGACCACTTGCCTTCCTTGTTGTGGTCTTCTTCCACTGCTACATGTGTTTGGCAGGCGATGCCTAACAACTCTTCTGTCACAACCAGCTCTTCCTTGTCGTCCTCGTTGTCGCTATTGTCCAGCTCGGTTTCCGGCCGGACGCGGTACACGCTCAAGAAGTTGCCCACGTATTGCTTTGTCTCGGCACATGGCAGCTTTAGCAACCACCTGCGCAAGCTTCTGTCCCACGTCGTTCCCGGCTCACGCAAGTGCTTGATGTACAGCACTGTGTCTCCAGCGCATTTTTTGTCCAGTGTCCATGCCCGAAAATACGTCATCGTCATCTTCGCATTGCTCTCCGTGTCTTCGCCCGTTCTATTCGGCACCGGCGCGCTGGCCATCTGGGGGCACTGTGGTCGGGCTTTGCGACGCAAACACCCGGCGTGGCACAGCGCGTTTCCGGCGCTTGACGGATAATACGCCTTGTTCCGGCTTTCTGCGCCTTTTGCTCTTCTGAAGTCGACGCCTGGCAGCAGCCGCACCTTGCAGTTGTCTGCCCCGGCCGCGCCGCATTTTGCGGCGCCCCTGGCTGTCAAGGTCACATCCGAGTGCGCGCCGCGCAGCTGTTGCCACTCACTACGTGTCCGTGGAATCCGCAGCGGCTCCAGCTCCCACGTTGTCGTAAATTCGTACGGAGACAAACACCATATGTCCGGGCGCGACGGTCTGTGGCCATACGCGTGCGCAGGGTTCACTTCCCGTAAGCTTTGCCGGCCTCCGGGCCCGAGTTCCCCACTGCCTCTTCGCCGACGGCTACATTGACAGCCTGCAACAAAGCTCGACCAGGGAAGCTGCAGAAGGCTGCTGTGCTGATGCGCTCCGCCGCCACAACGCAGCTGCCCTTCTGATACGCACGCAGGTTGCAACATTCTACCTGCCCGCGCACGATGCCTTTGCAGTACGCATCACTCAGGAACCGCGTCGCGGTTCTCTGTCCGATTTTTTCCACCGGTTCTCTTTGCATGCTTTGCTGGAGCCTTTGCTGGCCCTTCTGCATTTCTTTGATTTCATGAAATGCCATGGGTTGGCTCTTCGCGCAGTAGTCCGCGCAGTACCCCGTCTGTGCATCCTGTGCCCGTTGCGCTGCGCAAACTATCGCTTGCCGTTGTGCCGCAGACAGGTCAGACCCACATCGCTGGCAATCGAACGGGAGCCGGTACGGGACTTGCACGTCAACATTTGCTCCACGTAGACTGGCTAGCATTGCTGGGTGACAGCAATTCAGCCACTCGTTACCATATGGACTGTGCAATGCTCCAACGCGGTTCTTCCGACCTTGCGTGGCCATACCGTGAGCTTCGGCTTGGCATGGGCACAGTACTGCTGCGACCGGCGTGACCCAGGCTTCGCGGGGGAAGTCGCTTTTGCATACTCCGGGGCGATCTGCTTTTTGGCAGCCATGCAAGGGCACGCGGTCACCTGTCTCTCCACTGGGAGGGTGATCATGATGTTGCTTTAAGAACTGGAGGGTGCTCACATCCTGTGCCAAATACTCCTGTGCCCAGGCTCTGCCTTCCTCTTCTGCCGCTTGTTGCGCGACCCATGCGCGACGCTGCTGGTAGGCGGGGATCTGGATCAGAGCCATCGCGTCTTTGTGTTCAGGCCATGAAGCTTCTGCATCGGCAATGCCCTTGGCTATGGCTTCCGCATCGTGGCCTGCGTACGTGCCATGCATGACATGGCCACTGTACTCTAAGTACGCTACCCGTAAAGCGGCTAGCCGGTCGCAGCCAAGTTGGAAGATTTCTTGCAGTGGTGTATGCTGATGCAAGCATTGGACAAAGCATTGGCAGTGCCCATGCAATGACCCGGTCGACTTCTGTGCTTCAATCGTGATGTACGCTGCGTCCAAAGACGCCGCCAACCACAGTTGCATTACTTCCCCTTTCGTCTTGGCACGGCTCTGTGCCAGTATCTCTATGATTGCAGTCGGGACACGCAGGGCATGTCCTTACCCCAAACAGATGCTCCAACAGTAACAGCGCAAGCATACGGAACCCGGGCGCAGATCCCGCGCCAACGCTTGACGTCGGAGATCCCAGCCTGGCACAAGCCGACGGAAGGTCTCTATATGAATCGGCCAAGTCGTGTCATTGTCCACAGGTGGGTAGTCTCGGTCCCCCACATTCCAGTCTTGGTCCCAGGGCGCCGCGCGCACCGGATCGCTGCAGCGAGTTCGCGCCATGCGGACGTACAGCATTTGGCGCGCTTCGTCGGGTGAAAAAGTCACAAACAGCGGCACGCCGAAGCGTATCGGCAGGCCTTCGATTTCGAAACGCATCCGTTTGCGGGCTTCTTGTGTTCCCGGCAGTTCCTGCGCTGTGTGTCGCATGTTCTTCAGTAGCTTACGAGCGGCCGGGCGCAGGCCTCGCACATACTGCAGCTTGCTAATATCCATATTTACTGCCTTCGGTCTGCCTCGTCGGTCGATGTACTGGCCTCGCAGTGCTCTCAGCAGCTCCTGCGCACCTGCTTC